AAAAAATTGTGAGAAATAGTTAACTCTTGAAGTGATTGTTGTCTGCAAATTGAAGTCTGTGTTAATCATATCATAGGAGTAGTGGAGTAATGGAGTGATGGGCTGATGGGCTGTGAGGAGGGCAGGAGAGAAGTTGACGACTGGTTCAGGTTCTGAACCGGTGTTGTATTCATATGAATGATGATATCTAATCACGGGTTTAGTGTTGTTATGATGTCCTGAATGCTTAAACAATAATTGTCCTAAAGGTGTATTGAATGGTGTATTCAAACATGAATTCAATGAACGCTTATTGGCAGCGAAAAGGAGACGGCTATAAGTTTTCTCTCTATCGGATAGTGAGGTTGTGTTGGGAACCCAAACCACTCCCAATCATGCACTCATAGCCCAACTTTTGATTTATTATTGCAATTATAATTATTCCCCTCATGCGAGACAACTCACAAAATACTGATTATCATTATTATTATGATTACAATACGACGGACGGACGCAATGTTACAACCATTCAAATACAACACATCACTAAAACATAGAGAGACCACTCAAATGAAGGCCAGACCTGAGACATCAGACCAGCGCTTAAGAAATTAATCTTCTTTTCCCTCATATTTTGTTAATTCGTTTACAACAATGTATTCAATACTAAACACCGAAACCACTATTAAACCAATTATCAAACTATTTTCAACAATAATTTTCAATACGTTTGCTCTCGAAATGCCCCCAAAAAAACTTATTTTTGTATTATTTGAGTGTTTTGTCTGTTTTGTAGAAACAAAACCAAAAGTAGGAATAAAAATAATTCGGTGTCAGTCCGTCTCTCATACAATACAATACAACACATTTAGACCCTTGGGATAGATTAACACTAAAACGAGTAAAATTGTGTGCAATATATGCGTTGTGTTCACACTTTCGGCTAAAACTCATACACGAGAGACAAAAAACTACAAGTTTTTCACTCGCATTGAAAGACCATTGGATTTGGAATTGTTTTGTCGATTCGCACAGAACTGTCATTTATGTCTCCAGAATGTCAGATACGAATCGATCGATTGATTCCTGTCTTTATATGTCATGACTTGATGTGCAAGACTTTCTTTAATAATTCTGTGCTCTCTCTCTCTCTCTCTCTCTCTCTCTCTCCCGCATCCAACAAAGGACACCTGCATTACAACCGTTTGTGATGTAAAGAATATTTGATAAAAATGCGAGAATAACGTGTATAACGTGTAGGGATATCCCGGATTCAACAATTTGTGAACAACGGCTGACATGACATAAAATATATAAATTTTGATAACGATTTCGTAAAGAAAGCTAATAAACAAATGAGTTCTTTAGGAATAGATGTGTTTGTGTTTGAAATGCATTCAATGTTAGCAAATAGACTATTGAATTGATTTTAGCATTAGTTGAGAGCGTTTAGCGAAACACATAATTTTTTAAGGAAAACTGTTTAGCATTTTTTTAGTGAACATTTTAATGATTATTATGGACCACATCTGCGCTTTTGATGGCTTAGAGGTCTCGCAAATACAAAACTTTGAAACTATTGATGGGTTGCATATAATATACATCACTATTTCGATAATTTATTGTTGATGTTTAAAGAGAGGGAATTGAAATGAGAGAGACTGAGAGAGCCGAGAGAGAGCCTCAAACGACTTACAAGTTAGAACACGTGCTATTATGGCATACTATGGCATATTCTATGGCAGTCTATGGCATAGTCTATGGCACTGTTGGCTATATGTTTGGTATGGCTGGGAGTGAAGGCAATGGCAATAGTAAATCATTGCACCCCATGTTAGGGGCAATTTCCCTCTCCATCATAAATTAGAAAAATGTGATTTTGGCAAAAGTTTTTTAGTGATGGATCGCTTGAAACCTATGTCCTGCGCCTAACCTTGAGTTTTGTGAGCCGTTTGGCAATAATAGCCGAAGAGCTGAAGAGCTGCTTCTGATTTATGGCATTCATTCAGAGATAGATTAGAGAGCGCTGTGTATGGCATGTAATACCGGATCACAAAGAAATGCGTGACGTTTGACTGACACCACCACCAGATTGATGGATATGAATAAACAGCAGATGGCTGTCTATTATAGCTGTTAACCATTTATTTCTCGGGGGCGCCCTCTCAGCCCTCACAGCCCCCCCTCACAACCCCTCGCAACCAACCGTATTAATACTCTTACATACAATTCTCACTCTCTATCTCATCAAACATTTCAACAGAATCTCCAGAATCCGGATGAGAGCACCGGTACTAACACTTCAATACACTGTTGCAGTGAAAGCGAAAGTTTTGCTTCAATTCTGCACTTTTTCTTTTAGCCCCCAATGAGTCGTAAGAGAAGAAAAACAAATAATTGTTTGAGAACTTAAACTTGCAATTGATTTGATGGAGAGGGAGAGGGAGAGGGAGAGAGAGAGAGAGAGAGAGAGAGAGCGCAGAATAGGGACATCAGTTTGACAATCATGTGATGCTATGCCCAGCACTCACTCAATACTGACATCAGTCACAAGTGAGACCAAAGTTGGGAATCGATTGTTAAATGAATGAAAGAGATAAAGAAGATTAGGAAAGGAGTATAGATTTTGATGTCAAATAGATTGACGGCTTGTGCGGCAATGGAGGGAATGGATGCCTGACTAATGTGTATTGGACTGCATTGGCATCAATACGGCATACGCTGTGCGCACTCCTATTCCGCACTCATCTCTTGGTTGTCATGTCAGGTACAGACACACAGACATCAGACACTTGTACGTCAATCAGCCCTCACCGCTCAACCAACTCCACAGTCACTCTCTCGCATACTCTCACATACTCTCTCACACACTATCTCTCCCTCTCTCACACACACTCTTTCCGTTCACTTCACTCTATTCTCTCGATTCTGTGTTTGAGAGCGAAGTAACTCTTTTTCGAGCCATCACTGCATGAGAACAATATCTTAGATCTAAGACATCTACTAATGAAAGATGTGTTGAAACGAGAGTTGAGATCAACTCACAGACAATATTGCGGCGAAAGATTGCGCGGAAGAAGAGATAGAGAGAAGCGAAAGATAGTTATAAAAAGCGAAATGATTGTCAAGAATCGGCGGCAAACAAGTGTTTTGTTACATAACCGGCCGCAGAGTTAGGCAACTGTGCGAATAGGTATAGGTATTGATGAAAGGTATGTTTGACTTACATTTGGTGACATGTTTAGGTCTATCCTGCTTCTTGCGAGGCATGACTTTTGCCAATACATGCACTGAAGTTGTATTGCAGACAACACTTGCTTGTATTATACCATTTCCTCACATAATATCAAAAAACTCTGTCCGCAGTTGTGTTTACTGTTAGTTCTGGGCGTTTCACTACTTCACTACTACTTCACTATTACTTCACTACAACTTCCTTGTGATCCATTCACAGCAGATGCCTGTTTGCGAGTGACGTCGAGCTGATGGACAGGTTGAGAGTCGGAGAGGAGAGGAGACGAGTGGAGTCGAGACACACTGCGAGAGAGGCAGTGGGAGAGGGAGAGACCTAAACCACGCATTGCTGTGACGATCGCAACACATCCATACGATTGGATGAATCGATATATAAACAAACCAGCGCTCAGACAACGGGATCAGACACGACATCTGAATTGATACACCGCTTCCACACCATGTGTTGCACTTTTTGAATGGTATTCATCTATCACTTACTATACATATTATATTCTTGATGTGATCTTCGCATTCCCTATACTATACTCTATGCAAAACAATTGATATCATTTACTTCGCACGGAATTGTCTCAACATTTCTAATATTTCAAAATTAACAGTTTTCGTACAATATTTAAATATATTTGAGTAAATAAATTTATATGAAATCAATACAATAGCTGTTCATGTATTCACATTGATGTCAAATAAACGTTTAATGATTTTCCCAAAGTAAGAAACTTCTTGTCTCTCTATAACTAATTAATTAATAAATGAATAAAAACCCAAAATGAAGTGTTTTGAGTGTTTTATTGGGAATTTTTAGTGTTTCTTAAATCGATTCGTCACTCAATTGAAGGACATCTTAACGATTCATTAAACCCTATAATTAGACAATTATTTCCTGTAACTGTACGACACGTTTACCATATCTTTTATAAATTGAAATAACAAAATGATATTACGATTCTTGCAATATAACAGTTACTCGTTTGCATACATTGGAGAAGACATACAGTAAGTCTTTTTGAGAAACATAATTATTCTTTCAATATATGAATCGATTTGTGGTATAATTTACTTAAAAGTCGGTTCATATCTGCCTTTTATTGATTTTGATAGAACATAGAGTAATAATATTGAATATAATAATAACATATTGTATTTACTGTATAATAGCATCAATTATATAGCAATCATAGATTGCATTAAAATTAATTTATATTTAGTGAAGACTTTGTAAAACTTTACTTTTAAATATAAATATACATTATTTATAAACATTGTATTGAGTAAAAATATAAGACACTGTTTTCAGTGTTTGATATAATAATTTATATTTTTAATTATAATTTTTTATAAACAATTGTATTTTAAACATAAATTTAATGTCAAAACTAATAATTCTTTGTATTCTTGTATACAAAATGTGGACTAAATTCTCAATTTTGTCATTACATCACATCATAAAAAATATCAATATTTTAGTGAAAAATGAGAAAATTAATAGAAAAAACAGAGCTCTTGATAAATGAAGTCATTATTTAAAAAACATAGCATTAAATGGAGAAAATTATATAACAAAAAGACATTTCATTTTAAAAATTAACAGATTTTAATCAATACATCAATGAAATAGAAATTTATAAAGAATGGAAAATGTGTTGAAAATAATTAAATGTAAATTTTGTTATTAGACATAAAAATGTGATTTAAAATTATTAGATTTGTCAACACAACTGCCGGACAATCATTTACCATAACTTAGGAGCCATTTCTCAACACAATTAGACAATAATTATAATTCTTGTGTTACGATAGGATCACTACAATATGAGAAGAAAAAAGATAATTATATCAAATAACATTTATTTACTATTAATTCAAATTAAAGTATATTAACAAAAGGAATAATAAATAAAAACATGTAAATTTTTACTAGAAAAAGACTAAAACAACTTAATTGTTAATTATCGAGTAATAAAATATATATAAAATCTATAATATGTTTGAACGCATATCTATCAGAGATGTACTGTTCTGTATATACCGTCGGCACAATTGAGCGAATAATCCTATTTTGAGCTCACTTTGTATAGACTTTTCCCGAGTCTTCCTTTCCCTGGTATTTGGTCTTTCCATGAGTCCACGGAAGGTATCGATACTTAATCATGTGCTGCAATACAAATACAATACAGTCAACACTCCATACGAACAATCAATGATCGCTTACTTTGATCTGTCTCTTCATTGTAATACCAAATAATGTGATGAAATAAAGCAAAAGGATTGGCCAAAAGACGGGAATATTAAACGCTTCAAACATTGTACAAAACAGTGCTATTACTGTCGCCTTAGTTGAGGTATACCTGAACATCAAAACAATCAAAATTCAATACAAATTCACACTAAAAATCTCATCAAATACTGACCAAAACTTAAATTCAGGTAATCGTCTAATAAATGGTCTAAACTCTTCATTAGCACTGGTAGGCAGAGACGGCCCTTCATCTACATTATCAATAAAACATGTGTTAAAAATGGCATCAAAAATAAGACGATAAGAGATCATACCTTCGAAGTCGTCGTAAACCGCGGGATCTATTTTAGGCGTTAAGAACGCTATCAACATATTTAAGTAATATATTCCCAACGCATACGTTATTATATACCATCCCTTTTGGTAAAGCATTTAATATAAATGAAAATTAATTAAAATATTATGTATTGAAAGAGAAATGATTTACAGACTTGATATATAAAGACTCGGCCCATAAACGCGAGGAACACTATCGCTGTGAATACCTGTTTAATTAAATACAAAAAAATAAATTACTAGTCATTTCAAGGTATAAAAACATAACAAAAAATAACAATTGTAACCAAAAGTTTTAACACTTGTTATTACGGTATACCGTATATATTAATCTATAAATTAAATTTAATTAAACCTCTCTTTTAGAATTAATTTTACAATATTTACAGTAATAAACAAAACGAAACACAAAACACACCAATTATAGACTGTACGTACAAATTACAAATGGTTTTACAAATTTAATACATATCTCATAAGTGGTCTTAAATTCAACACTGATTTTAAAAATGCTTAAACAATTGAAATGTGATAATCGTTTTGGGAACCGATTAGTGACTAACCCATCGATAGGCGATATGAGGCGTCCAGGTGTCCAATAGGCTTTGGTAACGCTTTATAGTGAATAACACATTATTAATCATCATTTAAAGCAATTAACAGTGAAATTCAATTGAAATGAATGAATGATTCAATGACTGAATTACTTGCGAAAGACTTGTGAAGAATTTGGAGACAACCGACGGCTGCGAAGACTCCATAAACGGCTCTTCCATTGAATCCATGGCTAACAGCGATGTGTTGTTGTGATGACTGTTGTGTGTAATGTGGGATCAGTTGGACGAGCAATGGTGAGAGCTATGGATGATTGGCGTCAATCAAATTGACATTTAATTAAAATAACAAATCAATTGAATTGAAGGCAAAGACACGAAAGCCTTAACTCTGATAGCGATTACAAAATGCAATACGAGATGACTCGACAACACATGCGCCCAACCGTTGGCCTAACGCTCGCACTCATGCCTATTGTCTGTTCTATTCAAGCGTTCACTTCACGGCTTAACAGTCAACAAATAAATGCCATTATCTGTACTCCATATACGATATGACACTCACACCGGAAATACCAAACTCTATATAACTATTGAAAAGTAAATGATATAATGATTTAATTGATTGTTTGTCTCATTTAACACCGCGTTAGACAAACATTGCATCACTTTTACATAACCACAGTTTATTTGCTATGCCTATGCCTGGGGTTTGTGTTTGAGTTGACGGTATAAAGTAGTCAATGATAGAAAAGCCGGTATACAAGCGATCAATGCATAGATAAATATAACTTACATTTAGTTTTACGTTACATAACGTAATATAAGATCATTTTGATTGCTCTTCGCTGTAATAATAGGCAACAGTTGAAAAATATTGAAAGTATTGAAAAATACAGTGTTTTTGCGTTAAATCAGTTTCAATTGCATATGAAAGCAGTATTACTGTTAAAGCAATCAACTATTTTGCTAGACTTTTTGGGTTAAGCTTTCAATCGCTTATGAAATGATTGCATTGAATCATACAGTGATGTAAACTCTCATTGAATTGTGGATCAAATTGAGGTGCAATTGAGATGAATCCAATACCTTTAGAACTGAACTACCATTCTCACTGTAGGTGTAGTCCGTGACGTCAAACACTGGCTCTGATTTCAATGTATATGTGTTCAATGTATTTCAATGTGTGACGCAATGTCTGTATAGTGTTTGATATGAGCTTAAGACCTATT